TCCTCGACATAGTGTGTAAATACTTTGAATTTATTATCTCATTTTAACGCATTTTTAATGCATGCTCTAAGTGTGGAATGATTATTTAGAGGTTATCTAAAGTAGAAATAACAGAATACATTTAGGGAGAATTAAACATATAATTGGATTTAATAACTCGAAGGCAAGTCATAGAAGAGACCTTATGGTGAAATACTCATTAATTCTTGAGATTGCTTAAACCAAATATTGTAAGAGATGGTGAGGTTTGGTTCTTTAATCTTTTGAAGTATTTCCTCCCTCATGTTCATTACTTCATTAAATTTGTCTGGTAAAATAGCACACCCAATTTTAAAGTAGGAAACTCAAATTATTATGATTTATTTCATTGAATATTATGTTTTTTGAGAATTGCTTTAATGTTCTAGCTACTGAAGGACCAGAACAGAACAAAACATCCCTGGAAACAAGGATCCACAAAGGTACAACACCCCTTGCAAAGTTCTGATATTAGTTTCGTGTCTATTTTAGCTCTATCTTCAACTAGGCAAAGAGGATAATAGATTCTTTTGGGAAAAGTGAATTAGGAAATCGCCTAATGAACTTTCAGAAATAATGATTATAGGAGAGTATTACTTCTCAGGCAACAACACTAAGAAATACTCATTTAAAATTACTGTACCTGTTGTTAACAATTGCCTCACGTTCCCTCCTCCTATAACATGATAAAAGATAAATCATTCCATAAAGGTGGTTTTGTTCACTGACTCTCAGGACATGTAGAGATGGACATTTCTGTGTTTGCTTTATATGGGCACATAAATTAGGGGATGAAAGCCTGACTCTTCTCTCAGTGTGTGTGTGTGTGTGTGTGTGTGTGTGTGTGTGTGTTTTGCTTTAATTTTACCAGCTTGTGAGGGTCTACGAATATGTTATGTACACGTATGTGTATCCATATACAGTATGTAAATTTTCATTTTGTAATAGTCAAAGCTTTTTGGATAATATCTCATAATCTCTCTCCAGCGTGTCTCTGTTGTCATTGTCTCAAAGAGTGGGTTACGTATTCCAACAACTGCTATTACATTAGCACTGAGGAAAAATCATGGAACGAGAGTTTGACGTCTTGTGCTTCTAAGAACTCTAACCTGCTCTACTATGATGATGAAGAGGATGAGGTAAGTTTTCAAGATGTTTCCAGATTCTGTTAAAAGCTTGTGAGTTAATATTATGCTTGTAGAGTTCATCCATAGTTACATATGTATTTATAGTTTACATATTTTAAAGTCTAATATTCCATGGTTTGACTCTATGACACATTATTTACATTTTTATACTTTTAATGTACATTTGATAATTTCTAGGTCTTACTTTTCATAGAAACCTGTGTTTCTAGAAATGCTCTTTTTCCTGAAATAGACTTTACATTTAATTTTACAACACATCAAGGAAACTAGGCATACGATTGTGCAAATTGATTACAAAATAGAATCACACAGTTACAAATTACATCATGAGACAGAAGTTTAGAGCCTTTATCAGGCCTGCCCATTTTCATTTTATGAAATATCTCTGTTTATTTGGAGCTTTATATCAATGGAATCATTCAATGTGCATTTTTCTGTGTGTCTTCCTTCTCTCCCAGATACTATCTGTAATGTGTCTATATAAACACATATGTCTATAGTTTGTGAAATTTCACTGCTGTCTTATATGAATATGACATTTTAAAAACCACTCTCGGAAATTTAGTTTTTTTTAATATGTGGATATTATGAATAAAATTTTATGAAAATTCTTTTCTATGTCTTCCTCAACATATCATAATCAGTTATTATATATCTACATATATATATAACTACATAACATATATAACTACATAATATATATAATATACATGTTATAACTATGTAATATAAATATGGTTTTCATAATAAAATAATGATGTATAAGTGTAAAATGATTGCATTTATGTATAATTATACTACACTTCCCTGTAAGCATTAGTAGGAAATTGCACATAGATATGTGTATATTTCACTATACTAAATTATCCCTATATTTTTCTATTTTATGGTGTAAAATATGTTGTACCAAATAGGCCTTTGATCCAAAGCTCAGCAGTCTCAGAAAAATGAATTAAAAGTTCTGATGGTTAGAAACAGTACCATTTTCCTGGGTTGTAAATCTCAAGGCTATTCTCTTTTGTGAGAATGAGAAGTGTTGGGTTGTGTCTCTTGCCCACTTCTCCAGGATGGTGTCTTCTTTTCACTTCTTAGAAGTCTTTGTCATATTTCAGATATGATCTCTTTTTTGAGCTTTTAAGATGCAAATACCTGCATCTGCATTTTCACTCTCATACTGGAGTCTTTAATGATCAGAATTTTTATTTATTTATTTATTTATTTATTTATTTATTTTAAATATAATTTATTGACAAATTGGCTTACATCCAACACCCAATGCTCATCCCAGCAAGTGCCCTCCTCAATGCCCACCACCCATTTTCCTCTATCCCCCACCCCACTATCCACCCTTAGTTTGTTCTCTGTATTTAAGAGTGTCTTGTGGGTTGCCTCCTTCCCTCTCTGTTTGTAACTATTTTTTTCCCCTTCCCTTACACCACGGTCTATTCTTAAGTTTCTCAACATCCACATATGAGTGAAAACATGCTATCTGTCCTTCTCTGACTGACTTATTTCACTCAGCATTGTACCTTAAGCCGTATATTTTCTTTGGTCAATTTTCTTTTCTTTTCTTTTTCCCCACCTCCTTCTTCATTTTCCTTTCTCTCTCTCTGGAATGAATAGAATTTTAATGTTACCATGGTCCTACTTAGCATTTTGTGTGTTACAATGATTATTACGGACCTATTTGAGGAGTTAGCGAAAGTTCACGAATATAATTTCCTCTATTATATTCCTGCATTTACCTTTTTCTTTATTTACTTATGTTTTAACTTTTAATTATGGTTTATTATCCAAATAGAATTTATTTTTTGTGATGCTATATTTCTTATGCTGAGATAAAAGTGAAGGTTATCTTTTTCTACATCATTACCTCTGTGATGGAGCATCATTTATAGCAAAATAGGTCTTTTCTTCATCAATAATTTTATATACATAAAGTTATATATGTATACATATTCTCTAATCTACTTTATATAAATAATATAGATATTATATATCTTTATATAGAGAAGTATATATTCATAGATCACGGTCTATACAGTCCATCACAACCCACAGCAGTTTGAGTAAAATGTAGAGATTTACTTGCCTTTATGACCCCTTACCATGTCCCAATTATACTCTAAGTGTTCTATTTCTCCACTTACTTTGAGAATCACATGGAATTTATAATTTTGCTTCAACCGATAATTTTGCTTCAAATATCAAACAATTTCAAAAACACAGGAGGTGAAGGAAAATCCATTAACCTAGTAAGAATTTTATTCTTAGTTTTCTTCTCTCTTTCTTCCTTACGATCCAAAATGCCTTCTTTTACCATTTATTCCCTTTAGGAGTTCTTTCAGAGGGGTCTGGTGGTGATACATTTTCTTAGTTTTCCTTTATCAGACAAAGTCTTGATTAGGATGCCTATTGATATTTTTGGTGGATAGTCAATGGTTTTTTATTAGAATCACCCAATTAGTGTCTAAAACTTTTCTGCCTTTCTAGAATGCCTTTTATCTGTCATTTTGACCAGAGAGAAAAAATATTTTGGAGACTTGGGTGTGTACCTGTTGGTGTCTGTGGTTTGCTAGGCTCTCTGACACCAGTCTATGTGAGGTAGAGGGAAATTCCGGGGAGCTCACCACCATGTCATTCCTTGGGTCTCCAGGGCTGGGATCTGTCATCTTTCTCGTTATCTTTCTGACTCTATGTTGTCTTAGGAATAATACCCAGGGATTGTAGCTGTATTGGTGGGAGGAATAGGGAAAAGTCTATCCAGTCTATCTTTCCAGAACAGAAAGTCTGGTCTGGGGTGGTTTTCATTTGAATGCTCCTAAGACTAATGGTGTTGAGCATCTTTTCCTGTACTCATTGGCCATGTCCACATGGTGTTTGGTGAAGTATCTATAGAAATATTTTGGTAATATTTTTACTTTGTTTCTTTGTATTTTGAGAACTCTTTACGTACCCTGGCGGCAAGCCTTTTATTAGATGTATGATGTGTACATGTTTCTTCACAAGTTTATGACTTTCTTTTCTCTTCAAAGAGCAGACATTATCTTGATGAACTACACTTCATCAAGTTCGTCTTTTATGGATTGTGTTCTTGGTATTTTGTGTAAAATATCTCTGCCCAACTGTAGGTCATGGACTTTTTATAATACTTCTTGAAAGATTTTGTTTTCTGGGCGCCTGGGTGGCTCAGTCAGTTAAGCGTCCGACTTCAGTTCAGGTCACGATCTCGCGGTCCGGGAGTTCGAGCCCCGTGTCAGGCTCTGGGCTGATGGCTCAGAGCCCGGGGCCTGCTTCCGATTCTGTGTCTCCTTCTCTCTCTGCCCCTCCCCCGTTCATGCTCCCCCGTTCAAAAATAAATAAACATTAAAAAAAATTTTTTTTCGAAAGATTTTGTTTTCAATTATGTGTGATCAATTTTGAGCATTTTAATATAGTATAAAGTATATAATTATTAATAGTATTTAATACTCCATTGTTTCCACAGCCTTTATTGAAAAGACTATACTATTCCAATGAATGTGCATTTTTTGGAAATCTGAATTTCGTATTGTGTGGGTACAAATTTTGCACTTTCTCATGTGTTTAATTAGTGTCCTTATGTTTTTTTTAATGTTAGTTTCATAATTTAAATACTTTCTTGGGGGCCACTGGGTGGCTCAGTCATTTGGGCGTCCAACATTGGCTCAGGTCATGATCTCGCGGTTCATGGGTTTGACCCCCGCATCAGGCTCTGTGCTGACTGCTAGAGCCTGGAGGTTGCATTGGATTCTGTGTCTCCCTCTCTCTGCTCCTCCTCCACTAACTCTCTCTCTCTCTCTCTTTCTCTCTGTCTCTCACACTCACACACAAATAAATAAAGCTTAATTTTTTTTAAAAAAGACCTTCCTTTTTATTTTAAATGTTTATGTATTTGTTTTGAGACAGTGAGAATGCAAATGGTGGGAGGGGAACAGAGCCCTCCTTGGGGCTCCATCTCAGGAACCATCCGATCATGACCTAGGCAGGAGCACAACTGACTGATCTACCCAGTTGCCCCCTAAATTGTCCTTTGGTAAACGGTGAGTTTATACAAGTTCATTTTCAGAGTTATTTTATCTATTCAGGATCTTCCTGGATGTTTCCTATTCATTTGTGTCTTTCTAAAGTTTTTTAAAAATGTTTACATTTATTTATTTATTTTGTGTGAGAGGGAAGTGGACAGGAGAGGGACAGAGAGAGGGAAAGGAAGAGAGAGAAACTTCCAAGCAGGTTCCCGCTGTCAACACAGAGCCCAATGCAGGGCTGCAACTCACAAATTGAGATCATGACCTGAGCCAAAATCAAGAGTTGGATGCTCAACCAATGGAACCACCCAGGTGCCCCTTTCTAAAGGCTTTTTAAAAGTGGGAATAAATATTAGTTTTTTCAGGTGCCTTCTTCATCAGAGGAATCACATTTAAATATATTTGCGTTTCTTCATAATATTCTTCTCTGATAGTTTTTATTGTGGTATAATGTACATACAGATGGATCACAGCTATACATGCCAATAGACGGGCTGAGTTTTCAGTGTGACCATTGCATGGAATGAGAAAATGAATATTACCAGCATTGCAAAATGTCACTAACAAGTTCTTTTCTGCATTTTAAAAACGGTTTATATACATGGAATCATACGGTATGCATATTGTATTTTTGGCATTTTCAGGTGAAGGTAAACTTGTGTGATTCATCCCTATAGCTGCACCGGTTGTAAATTGTCCACATCTCTTTGTTGTTCTGTTGTCGGATTCTACTACAATGTATTCACTGATTCTATTGCTGACGTTCTTGGATATTTGGGTATTGATCCATTTGGGGCTTCTTTGATTTATTCTACTACACATCTTTTACAGTCAGGTTTTAGCTAAACGTATGTGTATCATTTCTTCCTTCTATAACCTTAAGTGGCCCTTCTCTTCTTGCTTCTTGAGAGGGAAGCAACTTAGACCATGCATTTATAATGTTCT